ATTGTTATTTTTTTGTGGCAGTCGTACCAGCTGTGTTCCCACGTGATTTACCACTGGCTGATTGATACACACACCCAATGTGTTTTTTTTAATATAACAATAATTGAATTTGTGTTAAAATTAAAAGTATTTAAATTTCGCTTGCGTCGCTTCCTGGTTATGTAAGTGTGGAACGAGAATAACTTTGGCAATAATTCGCGCATAAAATATAGTAACTTTATGGATTTTATTTTCATAAATCCCGCTCAACCGAACACTGGGTTAACCTCAATTTACAACGATAATATTCTGAGCTTGATATTTATGCGGCAGTAAAGTAACGAAATTATAAATCGTTCATTTTTAATTGAGATTGCATTTCCGATATATTTTATTTGACACGATAATAAACGTACGGATAGAGAAAGTTGACGAGATAATAAGCTTAAAGGTATTTAAGTAAGTATTTCCTATTGTGTTACAAACCACACATTACGGATAAAAAAGGGTGTATACAGATAACTATTAAGAATTCTCTGTTACATGAATAAAACGATTTTCTTATATTCGTTATTGTCAAAGTACTGCTATACTGTCTGTAGTTTACGCGAGTAGTACACATTTAAAACACTAACGGAGTCTCCCCGTGACGATAGCTGCTGCAAACCATCCGAAACGTCGGGCCGTAGTTAAAATAATTTCCTAATAAGTTTAACCAATATATATCACGTTTAAAACCGTTAAAGTGTTATATTGAAATAGAAGATGTGGTATAAGGAGACAATCATGTGATAAGAGTACTTATTTGCATAAATTATTTATTTCGCTATTTCTATATTGACAAAGTTTGCGTCACTACTTTGTATATCACAAGGTCAAGATTTTGCGAGTTTCAAGAGAAAATCACGATTATTTCAACCTGCATAATATATGCATGTTATCTGTCACTATGTTAACAAGATCTAAGACTGCTTTGAAAAGCTATTAGCCTTAATATTTGGCGTATATCCTTCTATGATATCAATTATTATAGATGTATGTTTGTTTGACCAACGAAATAACTTTTTACAATTTTACTTTGATCTATCCAGCTAATGAATAAAGTAACTAATATATTTTGTGTGTGTGTGTGTTTTTTTTATTTAGAGCACGCAGGGTTCACTCTATAACACCCAGCAATTGCGCTGTCGACCTATTTTGGCTTTGAATATTCGGGAATCCACAGACTGACACCGAAACGCGATTAAACTTCACGGCCTTTTCATCTGTCGTGGTTCGTGACCCGGATGGAATTTCGATATTCCTACCACTACCAGATTTTCAAACGAAGTCTAACATGTTTCAGAAAAGTTATATATTTATTAGAAACATGTTAGACTGTTGATTATTAGCCATACTAATAATATTAGCCATAACAATATTTTAAGTAGAAACATCACAAATACATATCACCTACGTTGTACCTTTATAAGGATGTATATAGAGCAAAGTGTATTATATATGCAGTATGTCGTATTCATAGTGATGTATCAGAGAGATGGCTTTTCCTGTCACTATTAATAGTTTTGCTCTTGGATGTAATCATGCCACATTCACAATGCAACCTTGTGTACCTTCATTCAAGACCAAATTTATTTAACAGTTAAACAATACTAATATATCATGTATACGATTTTTATTGAACGACAATTTTCGTTCCAAGGTGTATTTTTACATAAGTCATTTAGGAAAATTAAGTTTGTTAGAAGTGGTAGGTACATAATTAAAACAATGTAATATATTTAAATAAAACAAATAACAAGAATCGTTAAGCGCGAGAGGCCCTGGGTTCGAATCCCAGGGAAACGTAAAATAGTGAAACAGACACAGAAATGTGTTCGCTCCCCTGCCCCACGAGGGGGCTTACATACAATTTTATTTATCTTTAACGACCAGAAAATTGATGATGATAACTTAACGTGTTCTTCAAGAAACTTGCTCTTCTAAACTTTGAGCTTTGAAATTTCCTTATAAAAAATCTCAATACCGAACTAACTCATGGCCCGATTTACAATGGCCCCAAAATCATACTTCTATTAATATGTACGTATAGATAAACATTTCTCGTTCTTATCTTATCTATACGAGTAGCGGCACCTTTTTCAAATTTATTTCAACTATAATAAATTAACACTAACAATACACCTTAGTAATTTGGCGACCTTCATTTGAGAACGATGTTATTTCAATTATGTGTTTTAGTACTTTAGTGTACCTTCACATATTCATAATAAGGAGAGCATGCCCTGCCCCATATTAGTCATGAGTCAGCCGTGAAAAGCAATTAAAAACAACACAGAAATATGTTTGCGCAATTTCCTTAGTCAAGGTTATGATATAATCAAGTGAAAGTTACTTTATTTTGCAAAAATGTTAATTGATGTCATTAAACGAAACTAGATATGTAACAGCGTTTAGTGAATTTTGGAGCACATGATAAGATTTCCAGTAAATGTTAGAAAAATCTTGTTCTATCCGTGGAAATGGGGAGTACAGCTGTTTTTTTGGACAGTTAATATTACTATTACGCCCTTGAAGATAACTGGTGGTAAATAAAATTTAGAAGAACAAAAATTGAGAAAAGAAATTTAGAATCAACAGTATTTTGTTTTTTAAATACATTAACGTCTGTTAATGCAGTTAGTATCCTACTTATCTACAAAAAAATCCGCTAACCTCAGGAACTACTAGTTTGAATTGAAAAATTAGAAAAAGAAACAGAGGAAAATGTGGGAAATACGAGGAAAATCCTTCCATCCTTCTGGCTTTCCGTTGCGTTCGCTGCGATAACTGCGTAAGATAATCAAAAAAGTATGTAAGAAAGAAAGATTCTTTCTTAAATGGTCTAAACAAAAATCCGCAATTGTACATCTTTTAAGAAGACCTAAGCAAGAACGATGTCGTGGGTAACATCTTAAATTTATAGAGTTGTTTGCTAAAACAAATTTTGACGCCCAAAATAACTATAGTCGCTGAGACAGATAGTTGATTAGATAAAACTTCAGTAAACTATTATAAAGTCTTTCCTTTGTCTTCACGGTCGTCAGTTGAATGAACTGGGATTCGATGAAAAAGGTGAGGATGTAACTAACTACTGACCAGTTATAGTTGTAACAAATAACCCGACCAGTCATGGACAATGCAACACTATTTATACGGCTCTATTAGAGCAATTAGCGTGCAGGTGGTTAAGTTGTCTACAGATCTAGATAGGTTATCTATCACATCACGAGGTGCATTGTCGATAATTTTTGTTTTATTCTTTATTGCGCAACGCAAATATAGATCAAATAAGAAGTAATTAATCTACATTCTACATCAGAAGACCAAGTACCTATTAAAAATGTTAATGTATTAAGATTGAACACTGTCTGAAGTTTACGCGAGTAGTGCACATTTAAATAGAACACTTTAACGGTTTAAAACGCGATATATTTTAGTTAAACTTGATTGGAAATTAGTTTTAACTACGGCCCAACTTTTCGATTGCTTTGCAGCAGCTGTGGTCACGGGGAGACTGATCTGATTAAATATATCGCGTTTTAAACTGTTACACTGTTTTATTTAAATGTAACAGGATTGTTTAAATAAAACACTTGAACGGCTTCAAACGCGAAATACACTAGTTACAATTTACTTTAGCTACAGGCCAACGCTTCTCCCGTGTTTGATGTGATGTAAAGTTTAAATGTGTTTCGTGTTTTAAACCGTTAAAGTGTTTTATTTAAATTTTTACTACTCGCCTAAACACCAGACAGTATATATAACAAGATTGATTGAATGTATCATCTTAAGTTAACAATGTCTACGGAATATAGTCTTATTACCATAATTTCGAGGAAAGTTTACCCTAATGTACATGCGCACTCTTACGATTGTCGTATCTCTCGCGTCCTTGGAAAGGTGGTTATAAGCAATCAAGCCTTACGTTATGCCTTCGACCTTGTGAACATCTGATAAATGGCGAAAATTGCAGCCGACATTTTAACTGGCAAACGAGATAAGAGAATAGGATATGCTGATGGCCTTGTTACTAGAGAATATCTTTGATCTCGAATTATTAATGTAATATTGTCATTTGATTTTGCGTATTTGATTAACAATATTGATTCAAGACGAAAGATTCGGAAACACCTTAAGAGATATGTAATTCTTTAATTGTTAAGGGTACTGCATTATTGTATGGTTACATGTATTTATTATGTCTAAATCAGATCAACGAAAGCTACATTAATATTATAAGGGTGAAGAATTTGTTTGTTTAAACGCGCTAATCTCCGGAGCTACTGGTACGTTTTGAAAATGTCTTTTAGTGTTATATAGACCACTAATCGAGGAAGGTTTTCGACTATAAAGCATCACCCTGCGACCTATAGGTGGGAAGAAACAGTTCAAAATGTGGAAAAGACAGGGAAAAGGGTAAAATATAAATGGGTAACTAAAAACTTTACAAGCGAATGAAGAAGCAGTACCTCCTTGTATAGAATAAACGATTGAACCACAAACGCTTTCACTACAATCGTCTTTTGTGAACGCATTGTCTCCGAGCTACCGCAAAATATTTCATCCACGCTAAGGAAAGTGAATGCACATAATTACCTTCCTTGGGAGACCAATTATTTGCTCTTTCTCTCAACTCATACAAATTCTACGCAGTTGAACGTGATCTATTTAGTATCTGTATTGGGATTCGCGTTCTATTTTTAACTTACGTATGACGTAAACTTATTTTCAATTCATTTCGTTTGTTTGTTTTATTAATTTCCCACTGTACAGAACAGGTTTCCCCTGCCCGATTTAAAGGTTTTTCCGTTGCGTGTGTTGCAAAAACGGTTCAAGATACCCAAATTAATTATTTTTCTTTAAATAATCTTAAAAAATGTCCGGGACAGTATATATCTTTAAAGATTAACTTACGAGAACCGTTTCTAAGATAAAATAATAGCATGTCAGCTAGTTATAAATAAGTCCCTAGTTTTACCATGCGCTTAGGGACGCACTACCTACAATCTGCTGCCCAATATTATACACTTTACAATACGCCGAACCCGGAATTTGATCCCCAACCTCGCGACCTGCAATCGAATGCATTAACCACTCAACCGACAAATCAGATTAAAGGGTATAAACGTTTAATGGTCCGAGTTGATTTTGCAATAGCCCATTGGAAAGGCTCCTCTGTACCACTTGTTCTGACCGACAATTGACTCCAATAGAAAGGTCGATGTAATTTAATCAGCAACGTTGTCCTAATGTGAAATACCGTTGCGATGCAACCACTCGTCTAGTTATTTGCAAGTCGCAAGGATAACAGCTAAATGTTACTTGAATTTCCGTGTAAGCGTTATGTTACAGAATTGCAGTACTTGAAGTACGTTACGGAAACGTCGGTCATGACGGACGCATTCGTGTGTCCGTTTTATCGATCTGTCTATATAAAGATTATAAATATTTTGTTCGTTTGAACGCGGTAATCTCAGATCCTAGGATTTCATTCAATAATTTTTCATTATTTTATTCAAGGCGAAAACAAAACATTACTTTGAAACTATGACCGTTTTGTAACTAACTGTTTCTATCTGTTTAACGTGCCTAGCATAGCGTTAAGACCGAGAAGTACTGAGTTCGAATGCCGGTGCAACAATTAATTGTTTGGTCGGGCAAGGCATGTAAATGTGTTCAACAAGAAATAAATCGGAATTATAATATCCCACATGTGGGAACCACCCTTCTCTCTCATAGTGGAAAGCGTTTAAGGGAACTAGGGATAACCCGGATTCGAACCACATGACCACTGAGTCGGTCACTTAAATGTGATAATCGTGGAAAGTGGTTCATATACATGATACCGATATTATCCCGCGGTGGGTTGTAACTGTATGTGCGCACTAGTTGACAAAACGCCATCAGCTCTAATGTGATAAACGAGGTCAGTAGGCGCAGTGAGTGCGATGAACTAACACTTATTTGAACTTGAACAAATAACTAGACATGGGTTGCCTATGGTGTTAACCGAAACCGACATTTCGGTTTATGTTTACGTTTTCTCCGGTGAGTGAGCTCGTGTGGCAAATTCTACAACTGAACATATTCGCTTACTACCTACATTAAATATACATAGCGTTATATAGAAATAATTAATTTCGAAAACAATTCCGACAGCTGGGACTGGTGCTTCATAAGAGGGTAGACTGTATTTCTTAAAATAAGAGGGTAGCCAAATGCTTTGTGGTAAAAAACACATCGAAATTTTTATTCTAGGGCATGCCAATTTTTTTGGGTGCTTCAATCGGGTAGGTCAAGATACAAGACCCAGATCTTAAAGGAATTATCCGAATTTGGTCAAATACTGAAGTTCGGTTCAAGCTGCCTAAGTTAAACCGAATACTGAACCGTACAACGTACCACCTTTACAAATAAGAACCATTCCGTAACGCCATAATGAACTCGAAGTGAAAATGGAGTAGGTACATTCAACACGATACTGATAAATTTTTTTTAAATTGTAACAAGAAATTTGATTGAATCTATAGTTACGCGAGTACACATTTAAATGAAAAGTTTTGACAACGCGAGAAATTTTTAATGTAAAACTTCCGAAACATCGTATCGTAGTTGAAAATAAGATAATTGATTATTTGATTATATATAATTAATTTGCTTCTAAGACTTCTTAAAACGCTCTGAGTATGTAGATACATTGTTATGATAAGTCGTCGAAATAAAATGAAATTAAGAACATTTCATTTAACAGTTTCTGATATAAAAACTTGACGTTAAGAAAAATTCAATCGAGGCTTAAGTCAAACTTGATTTCTAGGTCGTTCCGGAATTAACTCAATGCAAGATAAGATATGATGTATTAACATCGTATTCGCAAGTTTAAAATTAAAAATCTATTTCATTTGAAAATAATTAATTTATGGCGCGCGCAGAACCTGCATCCACAGTTCTTACCAGTTGAGATACTACTGTGAACGGTGATTCGTAATCGTAAAAAATTATTACAGTATGTTAGACCCAGTGGGGATCAAACCCGACCCGTTGATTATTAGTCATACATCGCTACCATTACACCAATAAGCCCGACATACGACTACGTCTGTTGTTTACGATAATAGTATACATTTAAATAAAACACCTTTTAACGGTTTAAAACGCGAAATGTATTAGGTAACTAATTTGCTCTACTAGCAGCAGACAGCTTGCGTAGCAAACGCAATCCCGTCTTCTTTATAATCTACCGGGATACGAACAGACTACCAACGGTTGCGCAATGTTTTTAACCAATGAGGCATAGCGTCACTTAGATATTAAGGCAGTTGCTTAACGTAACACTTCGACATCTGCTATTAAAATATTAATGAGGTCGTACACATAGACAAACTGAACCTTAAATGAAAATAACTTCCTGTGTTCGGTAACAATGGTTAAAAATGTAGACAATGGCCTGTCGGTGATTGTAAATACGAAACAGGTTGTTGGATTCGACATAACCTAACTATTCTTTACTGTTCGACCGACAAATAACATAGGAGGTTGTTGTCTGTAGTTTACTCAAATAGTACACATTTAACTAGTAAAATGCGAAATATATTAGTATTTTAAACCGTTGCTGCAAAGCATCGGAAACGTCGGACCATTAAATATAATATTGTAGAATAGATGAGTCTAGAAATAAACGATACACTTTTTGTCTGTAAACAGAATCAATCAATGAAACGGTTATATAAATGTGTTCGTCCTATACTCCACATGGGTAAATGGGATGTCACGTTTTCTAAAAATACAAATCAAAATTTAAAAAGCTATACCTTAAACTTATTTTATTTACGAAAAGTTGTAGACCCACATTTGTTGAAACGAAACCTGCCAAAATAGGTCAATGACATACTCCACAACAGATTGTAGAGGGCAAATATTATAACAGCTTAATCATAAAAAACATGAAAATCATTTTATTAATATTTAAATAAAACACTTTAACGATTTAAAACGCGATGTAAAGCATCTGAAATATCGCGTTTGAAACCGTTAGTGTTTTATTTAAATGTATACTAAGTACTCGCGTAAACTCCAGACAGTATTTTATTAATATTTTCATACTAGCAAATAGATTTTGTTACTATAAACACATTTACATTTTCTAAAGATAGATTTTTAGACCATGAATCCTTTAACATTTTAAATATATTACCATGTATATAGTAAGAGGTATTAATAATAACAGCGAATAGCTAACAAGAGGATTTTATATAGACTTGAATACTTTGTAAACCTCTTGTGTAAAAGAAAGTCTCTGTCTGTCCGTCCTTACGTAAGCTTAAATTTTAAGAAATATTCTGAAGCGTTTTTTTATAGAAAAAAAATATTTAAGACAACGGTTGGTAGTTTAGAGAAATACTGATTAAGAGATAAATAAAAATAATCCCGATGATCTTATGCGATAGATAATCATGTCTGTACATCGTAGTACAGAGAACGCTAATCACAGAGACAAAAAACGTTATTTATAACGACATTCTGTAGTAGGTATATTTATTAATATTTCAATATCAGCATTACCCGTGCAAAACCAGGGCGGGTCGTTAGTGATACAATAAAAATGGTTCTAAATGACTGTAATATCAGATTACGCGTAATATCGCGACGGTTCTACAATGTATTAAATTTAATGGCGTTTATGTCGAATAAATTGCGTATGATTTCTCCTACTTTCTATTGCAGTGACTTGTATTTGGAATTTTATTTACAATGTAATAATTATTAGAGATGCGCGGAGTAACACGTAACGAGTACCGAGTTTTATCCGACTTTATTTTTTCTACAAAGTACTCGGACGAGTAACTCGATTTGATCAAATCCCATTTCGCGAGTGTAAATAGGTACAAACAGTTAAATAAAACATTTTAACGGTTTAAAACGCCTATATTTTAGGTAAACTTGTTTGAGAATTATTTTTAACTACGGTCCGACGTTTCGGATGCTTTGCAGTAGCCGTGGTCACGGGGAGACAAAACAGTTAAACTAATATATCACGTTTAATCCGTTAACGTGTTTTATTTAAATGTGTACTACTCGCGTACTCTACAGACCCTATTTAAGTACAAACAGGTTCGCGCCGGTGTAAGTGATCTCATTACTACTCATTCATTAGCATAGTTTTGGTTTTATTAATTGAGATTTTCAAAGATTTATTTTAGAAAGAATAAATACTTTTGGATTAACACTGTTGTTTTATTTATATCTACGTAAATATATTGCATTTCTTAAACAAAGTATACTCATTATCAAAAAACAAAGTATAACAGAGTTATTCGGCCGAGTACGAGTATCAAAAATCCCGCCGAGTACGCAGAGTACCCGAGTACTCGGCACATCTCTAATAATTATGCTATTATAATAAAAGTTGTGCGATAGGTTCTTTTTCTAAAATATTTTGTATCCAAAACAGTTCTTTATGACAATTGGTAACTAATAATTATTACCATTAATAGCTAAACAATTAGGGATGTCTGTACCTTTTATTTGGCTTAAAAAAAATTGCAACCTAATAAATGTTACTTTTTTATAATGTCAATATTGTTTAATGTTACATTTCTGTCTATTGTTTAACGTTGTTTTCTTTAATCGTTATAAATTACTACTGTCGGTTAGCTTAGCATACCGCATACGTAAACCCACGAAGCAGATTCAGTTTGAGTCATGTGGTTTAAGAATTATCTCCACTAGATTATTGATGTTAACCAGCTTATCGTGCTGAAGTTGATGTCCTTTCGAATTCTGAGCAGTTACAATCGAACTTCTTAAACGATTTCAATCATTTTTCAGATCTAACATCGAATCTCTATGATATGCAATGAGCGCACTACTAGACTAAAGAGGCATGGTATAAAATGTATTAAAAAAATAATAATAACTTAGTTTTAAAATTAGGTCTACAGCCGTGAAGTTTAATCGCGTTTTGGTTTCACCCTGTGGATTTCCGAATATCCAAAGCCTTACTTAGAGCTTAAATGGTTATTTCACCTAACTATTAAGGGACCCCCATGCTTGTGTCCTTCTCTATCATAAAGAATCAAAAGTTATTTTCAATAATATTACACAAGAATCCCCAAAGATAACACGTCAACGTCGTGGCGTGACTGTGTTGAAAACGTTTCATAGATGTGTTAAACATATTTTATGTTAGCCATGACATAACCAA